TGAAAGAATGAAAGAATGAATGGCAATTGATATTTATTGCTGTTAGGGGTGAAAGTTCTACAACAAGTAGTTACATTGCCTTCTCAGGAGTTTAACTCAAGTAAGAGTCAGACTTGACATTAGTATGTTCTTAATCTGTATTTACCTCAGGCAGAATACAAGCTCTGTTCAACCACCACCAGAAAATCTTAATAGAAAATCCCGTATCCTGTCCACTACAAGAGAGGCCTATTCTCCTTTGTATATTATACCAGCTCTACCAGGTGACTTTTTTTTTTTTCCTACTGAAGTCCCCTCTAGTGGTACAGTTGGGTGTTGGCTGCCTTAACTCCATCCTTTTCTCTCAGCAACTCAATGTCACCAATGTAAATGATGACCAAACCAGAGGTGACACCTGGTGCCCTCTGTGCTGAAGCAACAACAGAAGGTTATTGTAGGGATTTTTGTTGTTACTTTTTTGTAGAATGCTTGGCTTTTATAGTGTTAGCCTTCATAGCCTTCATAGCTAGCCTAAAGAGTATGTTAGTCTGCATGGTATTTTTCTAAAATATTTTTTAAAAAAGATTACTTGCTAATAATTAAAAATTATGAGATTTCAAATAAACAACTGTATTTCTTCCTTCTCCTCAAAAATAAAAGATATGGTGCAAATGGTTAATATTTCTTATGACAAAAATATGTGGAGCTGAGAGGTGTTCTACCATAAGTGGGACATTCATTGTTCCCACTCCATCATAAATCCTGCCACTCCCAAGCTAGTTGAGATATTGCAGGCCTAGACTCAGATTCTACTTAACATTTATGTTGGAGCTATTTGGTTTTATCACCCCTGACATACTTTACTCATTCATAACCTGCCTAACTCTATTAAATTTGGAAGTTCTAAGTCTATTCGTAAATAAATGACTAGGTAAAAATATGAATTAGTATCTATAGCAGTGCAAAAAGTGACTACAAAACTTAGCACCATAAAACATTCATTGTCTCACATGGTTTCTGTGGGTCTAGAATCTGGGAGCAGCCACGTGGGAGGTTCTGGTTTGGAGTCTCCCTTGAGGTTACTTTACAGCTGTTGGCTTGTGCTAAAATCTTGACTGAGGCTAGAGGTTCAGCTTTCAAGATGACCAGTTTACATGGCTGCTGGCTGGAGATCTGCCTTTCTTCCAACATGTACTTCTCTATTGGACCGTTTGAGTGTCCTCATAACACGTCAGCTGGCTTTGCCCAAGGACAGTGATCCAAGAGAGGGCAAAGAAGCTCATGTTTTTTTTGACTTTGTCCCCAAAGCCACATACCATCACTTCTGCCTTATACTCTCCACTAAAAATGAGACACTACCCACGCTTAAAGGAACGAAAGCTAAGCTCTACTTATTAAAAGGAGAAATAGTAAAGTGTTTATGAAACATATCTTGGTTTAGAGGTCTTGACTGACTCATCAAATAATTGCTTTATTTTGATCTGGGTACTATTCTAAGTAAAACTAAGAGCCTCAAGTGGTTCCAATTTATAATCCTTGAGGTTTAAAAACTTGCGCAAAGTATTCAAAGAGATTTTTTTAAATTCAGCTTTAGGATAAACTACTCGTAAATTTTAGTGAAAGACAAACTTTCAGTTACTTATCATTCAGCACCTATGTAGCCTCTTTGGGGAACCGTCATACACTTGTATATACTAATCACTTCATAGCACAATGACTTGTTTTCTGGATGTGTAATTTCAGGATCACTGTAGACAAATTTCTTTTTAAACATGTGTAACTGCAGTCTTCAGTAATCCCCTGGATATTTGTGAGGTTCCCGTGTTTTACTTTTTCATTGCCTTTATTATATGACTGTAGTATTCAGCCTGAGCAGCAAGCAGGTCATCACATTTTTCTTTTTTTCTTCTCAAAGAGAAAGGGTGGAGGTTTTGAAAGAAGGAGAAGCCTGAGGAGAAGAGAAAGTTTAAAACCAAGCCAGAAAATGTTATAGAGATTCCTCCCCTGATTCTCTTTGGTTATGGACTTTAAATTTTAAATTCTCAGACTGCTAAGTGTATTTCGATATATCCAGTTAACATATTGCCAGTAGAGGCATTAGGAAGTTTTTTGTTTGTTTTGAAGCTGAGTCTCACATTGTCACACAGGCTGGAGTGCAATGGTGCGATCTCGGCTCACTGCAACCTCCACCTCCCAGGTTCAAGCGATTCTCCTGCCTCAGTCTCCCGAGTAGCTGGGATTACAGGCACCCGCCACCACACCTAGTTAATTTTTTTGTATTTTGAGTAGAGATGGGGTTTCACTATGTTGACCAGGCTGGTCTCGAACTCCTGACCTCATGATCTGCCTGCCCCAGGCTCCCAAAGTGCTGGGATTACAGGCATGAGCCACTGTGCCTGGCCAAAAGGTTTTGTTTGTTTGTTTGTTTGTTTGTTTTAAATATTTATTCTTTATGTTTCAGGGCTACTCAAATTATGGTGGCAAAAAGGGGTATACTTACACAGCAACTTACTTGTTAAGAGAATTTTAATTTCTGAATGTGGGGTTTCTCTGCAAAGCTGATGTCATATCAGATTCACAGGGTTGACACAATATGGGCATTATGATCTTACTCAAACTTTCTCCTTCTTTCATTTATCAGTTGACAAACCTAACAGACGTTATTTTTAGCTAAGATAGATACCTGTTCCATTTTTTGATACTATATTTACAGCATTGAGCTCTGTAAGTTTAGTCTTCATTTCCTACTCAGAACATGGTCAGCAGAAATATTAGCAGAAATAAACCTTTAGAAAGCCTTAAATATTCCTACGAGGCAACAATTTTATTATACTTTTTTCCCTTAAAAGTCACTGACTTTCCTTGAAATGTTATGCAAGATTTTTAACACCTCTCCTCTAATTTATTGAGTGCATCGCTTATGCTATTTGCTAGTTTGGGTTTCATAAAGTACACTGGAAATAAGTTTTTGAAAACATAACGTGGGTGATGATTTAGAGACTGTTGCAGATTACTCAATTACTTTCGGAATTTAAACTCTGCTTATTTTTATTTAAAATATGTACAAAGACTCATAAGATAAAATATTAGTGTTCATTTTCCAATACTGAGTAATATATTGCTTTTTAAAAAAGTCATCTTATAGACACTATAAAACAATTGTCAATAAATTCCTACTGTAAAATAACCTATTTATCAAGTACAACCCTTTTGTTTTATATATAACTTCTGGATATATACAAAGAAAAGAATGTCAATATAATGCTATATAAATAGCACAGAAATTGCCCAAAGACTCAAAAGAAAATTGGAGACTTAAATACAAGATAGTTTCTCTTTTACACATTTAAATTCCTCATCTGAAGAAAAACTATTTAAAAAAAAACTGATTCTAAGAAATAATTTAGAAACAAAAAAAAGTAAGAGGTATAGCAGAAGGACAGTAGTTTAAGAATAAGCTTAAGCAAATGAAAACCACTAAACATCTGATGAAGTATCTATCACATATCTGGAAATTCCCAACTAGGGAAACGTAGAGAGTGCTTTGAGGACCAAATTCACAGGCATCAGATGACAACTTTGACATTTCCATAGAATTCTACTTTTCAAAAAGTACATTCATTTAGAACTTCAGGTGATTCTCACAACTTTGTGATATAGGCAGATAGTTTCATGTCTATTTTCCCTATAATAAAAATTGAAATAGAGATCATCTTAATACTTAAGTTTTTTTTAAAACAATCTCCTTTTTTCCTTCCTTCACGAGAGAGGAAGACTCATTCTTAAATAATAATTTGCAATATTTAAACCTTATTCACCTTCACCTAGATATTTTTAATTTAATTGAAAATCAAAGATAAAAACATATTTTTGTCTAGAAAATGGATTCCCAATTCTGTCTCAATTAACCACTATTTATTAACATATACTCATGAACATTAGCAAAAAATATATATAATAAAACAAAAGCAATAAAAATACCCTCACAAACCTGAGAAACTAAATGTTCTCAAATGGCTAAAAGATTTAGAATATAGAATTAAAAGGCATAATTTTTTACCCATATAAATAAATATAAAAATATATTCAAATGAGATTTTCATAAATTATATAAGTTTTTTAAAGTTATTCTGACTATATCACAATATTCAAAATTATACATATTAAATAATTTTCTGATTATCATCCTGTAACCAAATGCAATTACTGAAATTCTATGTAGATTATCCAGTTCTCACACCCTTCACCTACTGCGAACATCAGCTTAGAGTCAGCCATTCACTAAATCAAAACTCAGCCATCCTCACCAAAGAGTTCTTCTTTATGCTATCCACTCAACATCTTCTGAAAAATTCGAACTGTCTTCTTAAACTGAAACTTACATTTCAAAAATGAGCTTCTAATATCAATATAGTAGAGGTTAATTATTTGCTCCATGGCAGCTACACTTCCCTTTTAGTTTCCTAATCATTTTACTTACCTGGCACCTTTTTTTCCCCCAGAAGATCGAATTCAAAGGAATGGAAATAAGACTCAAATAAGTAAAATTTTTACTCACTCTGAAACACTGAAAAGAATTATTCAATGGGAAATTATTTCAATCATTGGTCAAATGGACCCTGTTGTCTTGTCTTTTGAATTCTATCCATGGATCAAGCTGTTCTTTATTAAATGGAGATAAGCCAGGTTTGACTTTATTGTGACAAATGCACAAGGCCCTTACACTTTAGAGGACTATAGTAGAACACAGAAAATAATAATTATAAAATAATATAAGTCATAGTACACCAAGAATCAGTAACAGTAAAGTTAGTATTGCTAACGCTAAGTTTCTGATCTGGATAATCTTATAAGTCTGTTTGCTAAAGAGGAAAAGAAGGAAGAGAAGAAAACCTCGCAGAAGTGTGCAATTTGAATGTAGTTCTGGTGTTAGCAGTAACTTTCCTAAGATTTTAACAAGTCATAATAAATCAGCCCTCATTCAATACAAAGCAACCAAGCTATAGAATCATTTCACTTACCCATGATGGTTAGGGCTGTAGCTTTTGTTAATTCTTCTTTCATTGACTCGATTACTTCTAAATTACCACCATCCAGGTTGCATCTATTGATGGTTCCATTCCCCGAACTGATCCAATAAAGCTTGTTTTCCACATAGTCTATCGATAGACCTGTAATTAAATTTTACAACTTAAACATAATGATAGCCACTTAAATTGTAATATTCACCTAGCACCACTGGATTTGAGGGCAAAGAATAAGTTGAAAGCTCAGATTTTTGTCTTTACAAATAAGATCTGGCTAATAGGAAACTACACATATGTTGTTTTCGTTTTTTTTGTTGTTGTTGTTTATTTTTTAGAGACAGGGTCTCACCCCGTCATTTAGACTGGAGTGTAGTGATGCAATCATAACTTACTGCAGCCTCAGACTCCTTGGATCAAGCAATCCTCCCGTCTCAGCCTCCTGCATAGATAGGACTACAAATGCGCACCACTAGGCCCAGCTAATTTTTTTCATTTTTTTTTTTTAAATAATGGGGGCTCACTATTTTGCTCAGGCTGGTCTTGAACAACTGGGCTCAAGGAATCCTGTCACCTTGGTCTCCCAAAGTGCTGGGATTACAGGCATGAGCCATGGCACCCAGCCAACATAAACAGTTTTAACTGACAGAGAAACATTATACTTTTATAGGCACTTAACAGTTATCTCTATGGATTACTGACCTAATCTTGTTCCTCTGAAAGAAATTACAGTTCAATTTTACAGATACAAAAAATAGTACCTAGAGTAGATAAGAAATCTGTGTTCATAGCTAGTTAGTGGACATTCCAGATATTTTTAGAAAGTTTCTGTTTCCAAATTGAGTGCCTGCCCTCTTCATTATGCCACTTTGCCTCAGAAAGTTTTAATGTGTAATGACTCATTCGGGATACTAATTTAACTGATGAAATTTATAATTACTCATCTATTTTCCATAAAATTTACTTAGGCAGTTACAGATTTAAATTGGTGATTTCATCCCTCTTCAAGTAAATCCAAATATGGAAGATTTTCAGCAAATAGTAATTTTACCAAAGCACAGAATTAAAATGCGCTCATTTGGAGGCTGATATGGGGGAGATAAATCTTTCGGCAAGTGAGTGAATCAAGTCAATGGCTTAAGACGCTAATCTCAACATGGCACAGTGTGTCACTGGAGGTAAGGCTGGACTTTATTGTATTTTATGGGCAACTTCACATATTATAGTGGTGGCCATCATTTTCAGAGGTGTCAGGGTAGGTACTTTTTGTTTGCTAAAGGTCCTTGGCACACATCTACTTAACTACTGTCATGCTCAGCAGCATCAGTATCCACATTTTAACAATAACTCTGTGGAACCATGTTGGCCTTCTGTGATCCATAATTACTCATGGAAAAGTGCATGTGGGCATATACTCAGGCAGACAATGCAACCAACTGTTCCTGGGATCTCTCTCAGAGAATAAAGTGGACAAATCACAGATCATTCCTTCCCTTAAAAAACAATGAAAGGAAAGAAGGGCAGATGATTGAAAAGACACACAGATCCAAGTGCATTGAGAGAAGGTGAAATATAGCCTAATAATTCTCAATTACAGGGATTCCCAGGACAAAGAATGTGAATAATTATAGGCATTTAACAGTTATTTCTATGGGTTAGATCCTCTTCCCTCCCCCGCCCCGACAGTTGGGGTCTCACTCTGTTGCCCAGGCTAGAATGCAGTGGCACAATCATAGCTCACTGCAGTTTTGAAATCCTGGGCTCAAGTGATCCTACCACATCAACCTCCTGAGCCGCTGGAATTACAGGTGTGAGTCACCTTGCCTAGTTCTTTTACTTTTTCTTTTAATACGTGTATGATTCTATTTTTGGAAAGACCAAGGTAAAGCTAGTTTATGCTCAGAGTCAGGATGTGTGGAATGTAAGGTAATGATTGGCCACAGGGCTACTGTGTTTCTAATTAAATTCTGTTTCTTGGTCTGGGCGCTGGTTATATAGGCAAATTCATTTAATCAACATTCATCAAGCCATATATTTAGGATGGTTTACTTTTCCATATGTATGTGATTCTACCATATACAGTTTATATTTAAAATGTGGGAGGAAGCTAGGGAGTATAGGAAGTGTAAACAAAATAAATAAAACCTCCTAAATCAATTCAATACACAATGCCAAGGAATTTAAAGAAGTGGGGGCTTCACAGAGGAAAGAATTTTGTCTCTCTCTCTTTTTTTTTTTTTGGATCTGAGTTCACCCAGAGTCTATTATTCAATGTCTTTGCTTCTGGACTGTGACTAGAGGAAGCAGACTTTGTCATCGTCAGCTTATTATATTTGCTGTCTAGCATGATGACTAGAATAGAGAAGAAAAATAATAAACATCAAATAAATGGACAGACTATTTAGTTAATTCCATTATGAAACTATAGCTTGTTTTCAAAGAGTTCTGCCTAGGAAAGTTTAGTTATCTTCCCAACTGAATTTTTTTTTTTTTTTTCAGATGGAGTCTTGCTCTGTTGCCAGGCTAGAGTGTAGTGGCACGATCTCGGCTCACTGCGACCTCTGCTTCCTGTGTTCAAGTGATTCTCCTGCCTCAGCCTCCCAAGTAGCTGGGACTATAGGCATGTACCACCATGCCCAGCTAATTTTTGTATTTTTAGTAGAGATGGGGTTTTACCATGTTGGCCAGGATGGTCTCGATTTCTTGACCTCCTGATCTGCCCACCTTGGACTCCCAAAGTGCTGGGATTACAGGTGTAAGCCACCGCACCTGGCCCCAGCTGAATTTTTTAATGTACTACTTATACCCAGATACTATAACAAGTACAGAGGAAGAGCAATGATTCAACAGCTCTACTTAGTATGGCTTAAATATTTAAATTAATTTTAACATTGAATAGCATCAAATTAATAGTTTTAAGGTTCACAAAAACGATATTTAAAGTTTCTCCATTAATCTCTCTCTATATATATGCACGGATGCATATCACATAACTCCTTCCATGTATCTTCTTTCCTGTTAAATATATTAGCTTAACCCTTAAATGTTCTTGGGTGCATGTATTCTCAGGTTCATAAAACAGAATTGCAATGCTTTACATTATTATTATTAATTTTAAAAACTGGTGACATATGCTTTATATTCATAGTATAGATATATATAGAAGTATAATACATATCTCTGAAGTTTATTAATGCAAATGTTTTTGCATCATAAGATTTTTCATTTTGTTATTATCATTCACTTAAGTCCTAACAACACTAAATGATTAATTGGTATAAATGGTGTTGGAGTAATTTCTGAATCAGTTCTCTGTTCTGCTAATATTTTAAAAAATGAATCACTAGGCAGTGAACAAAATTGTTTAATGCAATTAAAACTACTCAGTGATGTTAGAATGCCAAATCAATACCCATGAGAAAACAGGTCAAACGTGAGCATATTTATAAAACTGTCCTGGAACCTATGCAAAGAAATATAATTATGTCTGTACTAAAGGATCCTCAGAATGGGTGACTGAAATTTGAAAATCTTCAAAAGGGCCATAGAATCTGTCTAAAGAACATATCAGTTGTAACACAGTCTTGTTTTTATAAGACATATTTAACTAATTTTTGAAGCTTCTGAATCTGGCTATCAAATGAGGAAATCTAGATAGAATAACATAATAAGTATATATGTAAAAAGTCACCATTTAAATCGAGAAAAAACTTTAGGAAATGAAAAATTTATCTTTTTTACCTATCTTTTCTATTTTTATGAAAATACAGTTAACCCTTATGCTTTAATTCTAACATTCCTTATTATCAGTCCCAAATTTTCCTTTATATATTATTTTATTTGAACATTTTAATTTAAATAGACCAGCTTAATTTTTATGGAGACAATGAAAATTGCAAAAATTATGTAATTTCTCTCATAATAGAAATATTCTACATATTAATATAAGAAACAACTAAATATTTTTAAATAATGTAATTTACCTACATTCAGTATTTCATATATTATTGAAAAAATTACGTTTATTAAGTTTTAAGTGTTGTTGCAATTAAGACTAGGCAGTTCATTTTGTGTGTCTCATTTATTTTCTAAGCGGCTCAAAATTAAATAAACATGCAATATGGAGTTAAAATAAAAATGGAAGGGTATAAAAAAGGAATTTTAAAAATTAAGAATTAAGGCTTTCAATAGATAATTTTTAATACATTTCCATCACTTAGCAAATTTAACTTCAAAATTCTTATCCCTAGCTGGGAATTATACTTATCTGGAAAGTCATTTTAAAATATTGATCCTACAGCCCCAGTCCACAAAATTTCAGTTTAATTGGTTTGGGCTGGTCCTGGGCCTCAGTATTTTTAAAATATTTCTCCAGGTAATTTTGTGACACACAATTTTTAAAAACATATTCTAAACACTGCATATTTTTATAAGCTTTCAAATGTAATATTTTAGTAAATTCAACTGGGCCATTTAAATTTTTCTGGAAAGAGTATTACAATGGTGAAACCTTTGGAGACAGGGAAATGGTAGAGATGTAGATATGGGAAATAGACACACCATGAATATTAAAATGTAGAGGATTAACTTCTAGGCCTCTACACAGCTATAAAAATATAATCAAAATCTTCTAAATATTCTTTTTCTGGCACTAACTTCAGACAGTAGAAAACAACTCCTACTTCTGGGACTGTGAAAGTTTTAGAAACTGGTCATTGAAAACACACAAAATATAGAGAAACATCAATAAGTTACATCACATGCTATACCTGTAGAAGAATCATAATATTTGAAATATCCGAAAATGAACATTTTTTCAGACTTCATCAGAAATGGCATGACAATTCCGATTCCTGGGGCAGAACTGTTTTGGAAACATTAAAACTTTAGCTCTGATGGAGGCTAGTTATTACATGGGGAAGTATTCACTATTAGGCTATCTCAAGAAATGCTTTATCCATCCTGAGAATATTTGGATTTTGCTGGGTAAAGAATGGGTGTGCTGGCTGGGCTCTGTGGCTCATGCCTGTAATCCCAGCACTTTGGGAGGCCAAGACGGGTGCATTACTTTCAGTTGAGAGTTCGAGAACAGCCTGGCCAAAATGGCAAAACTCCAACTCTACTAAAAACACAAAAAAATTATCCAC